AAAGGAATGAGACACCACTACCTAATACAACCAAAGTCCACTTATAATCTCTACTGTCTCTCTAATCAGAATCTTTTAATCAATTTACCAAAGTTATCTGTGAATAACAAGAAACTTAGAAAATGTCTCTTCAGAGCATATCTGCAATACAAGCACGAAAACCCATATTCAAACAATTACATACTACCCAAAGAAGATTATTTCCATCACAATTAGCCCAGAGTATGCAACATATTTGCATTCGTTTTTAGTATCAAGCTGATGTTTATTTTTTTTATTTTGCTTAAATGACTATGGTGAAATTCTAAAATCGCATAGGCCATGTGAAACCACAAAAGAGCACTTTTTTATTTTTCCAAATGTACCATGTTTCTACATGGCTTACATACACTTGTACAAGAAATACTGTTAGTTTCTATATAGAGATTTCCATAAAATTTTTATAGTTTCTATAAATGCATAAAAATTGTTGGATCCATTATAACCTGTGTTTCAGTGCCAGTGGAAAGAAAAAATGACCTGTGATTCTAATAGCAATCTCTGTATATGGGGGTACACAGATCCTCTTTCCAGGGCACTAAGACACTATTTTATCAAAATATACATGAGCATTTGAAGAAATAACTTCTAGTACCCTCAACTCTAACAGCCACTCTTAGAACAAATAAGCTATAAAAAGTACAATTAATAATTCTATATGTTTTAATGTAAGAATTAATTACATTATGACCAGCATGCTTTAAAATCATGTATAAAACCTGTTTCACTTGATACAGTACAATGCTATTTAAGGAAGTATCTGATAGGTTACTATGCCTTTATTTCATACTATTCTATGCCATAATCATAATTACTACCAATTATTAATCTGAAATATACCTATTGTTTTAAAACCAATAATTGGCTTTTGGTGGGAGTAGTATCATTTAAAAACATATAAGTTTAACCATCATTTTCCCTTAATTCAATTAGTATTCATTAAAATGGTACTAACAAAGTTTTACAAATTATTCCCATAATTATGAATAAACAGAGTAAACAAAATGACATAAGTACACCGAGCTGACTACAGAACTATGGTTTTATTTGTGAGTCAAAGACAGTCATGTTTATTTCTCATTTCCAGTGTCAGAATAGCATGCTATCTTTGAGAATGAGAGGACTGCATTACTACTGTGCTTCCGCCTGTAACAGGAATTTTCTACTGCTTATTGTTGGAAGCTCAAAAGAATAGGTTTTTCCCATAACCCAAAGTAATTCAAAATCTACCTTCAATTTTATAACCTTTAACTATTGAAAAAATGCTGATTATATTATATATCTATGAGACAAAGAATTTCTTTTTCATCTCATACATAAGCTGTTAGAAGATTATTTTTTCCAGAAGTACAAGATCCTTTCAAGTCAGAACCCTACCACTGCTGGTGTTTTAGTATTTAAACTGGTTAAGCTTTAAACAAAAGCAGATAAGTAAGCAATGTGAACTCTGAAAAGCCCTTGCTTTTCCTGTTTTGTTGCTTATTTTGCTTTTTAAAAAAGTACTGTGCATCTTCCAGGAATTAACAAAGCCTACACTTCCAGGCTCACTAAATTTTGATGAACTATTGAGTGCTACACTGACTTAATGGTTTAAACCATAGATGTCACTGTGGTCTGACTGTGTCACAGACAACTTAAGGAGGGAAAATAGGGCACAGAGAAACCACTCTGTCAGTAATTACAACCAAGAGCTCTAAAATGTGGCTCAGGCTGCTCATTACTTCTTCTTTCTGTATCAAGACCCTTATTTACATTTCAGATTACATTTTTTATGAAACAGTAAGATCTATCAGAGCTGAGAGGACTGAAATAATGAGGGGAAACATTTTAATAAAATGTGTTGGGTCTGCATTACTTCCGTGACAGAAAGAAAGGCTTCCTCTGTAGTGATGGATCATTTATTCCGCTTCTAAACGAGAAGCAAAAAGATGAAACTGATGAACTTTTACTGCCCGTTTGTCTTTAGCAGACAATTAAGACAGAGAAGATCAAAATGGATTATCATACCATGCAGACAACTGGCCCAACAGTAATACATGTCTGAGAGCACAGATTTGTAACTCTCTTTTATCCTCTCCTTTCTTCTTACTTCTTTTTCCACTCTAAAGGCAGTGCTAGCTTTGTGGCTCAAGGAGAGCCAAAAGGCTGGTCATCATTATTCAGCCACAGATGTCAATCTAACCTCCCTTTTTTCTCAGTTTCTAAAGCAGTGAGGCACAATAATTTGTGACAGATTCTTTTACTGTAAGGTACAAAGAACACACAGAATAAAACATCTAGCATCAGCCAGTGTCTCTGATCAAGTGTGCGGTACATGGGAAATACACTATATGTAAAAACAAGCTCTGGCAGTTTAGGTGAACGAGGAGTGAAAATCGAACGGAGAGGGTATGGGGGACAGAACGGTGTGTTCACACCCACACAGTGATAAGTGTTATATTGGGTGGCAAATTATCTTAAACATTCCTTAAGGACCACATCATAAATGTTTTAATATTTAAAATACTATACTTAATGCTTACACAAAATAGAAATATTCCTAAGAATCTCTTATAATGGTATACAGGAAATACATATCTGGAAGAGACAGATAATCTGGTTTATTCAAACAAACGACAATGTGAAAAAAGCCTATGAAATCAGAATAAAAATGATTTTAAACAGCAATTAAGAAATAAGCATTTTTCATTCTCTTTCATAGAAGATATGATTCTCAAGTACATTTTTGGAAGTTGGAAAAATATCTTCAAAAATCAAGTAGATCTTTCATGTCTCATTTCCTGAGTTGTTTGGGATCAAGAAATATATCTTAAGTTTGAGGAGATGCTAAATAAGACTGTATTGTATACATTCTGATAGGTTTGCCTTGAGCCCAAAGTCTGGTTCTCAAATTTCAGCACTGTGTCACTCCTCCAAACAAAGAAACAAATACCTCTATCCTGTGAACAACTTTACAATAACTACAGCTGCTATTTCATAACTACCTACTATAATTTTAATCATTCCAACTTTGACAGAGAAAATGTATGTAAGGCCATTTACTGACAAAAGCAAAAGACTAAATTCACTACACAGTTAACATCACATTAAACAACTGGACTCCACATGCAATGAGAGTGCATAAAACTGTCTAGATTTTTCTGTGGATACACATATACATGTACACACATCCTCCTCAAACACATGTACTGGGAAGAAAAGAACACAGATACTAAAACTCCAGATTGTTCCAGCAGTTTCTTCTGAGTAGTAAAATACCAGAATGGTTTATATTTTCTTTATGCTTCTTTATGCTTCTTAAATTTTATTTTTGCCTTAGCTCTACTTTCTAGAGCTTTATTACAAACTTCTTATTTATGCAGTTTCTAAAGTTATGTACTATAAAACTCATGTCTCTGTTTTGGCGTTAGTAGAGACCTCTGTTTAAAGGTCTAGACCCAGATGGTAACCATGCTGTTCTAAGTTTTCTCCTAAAGAACTGTACCTCTCTAGATTATTCAGGTCAGCAGATCACAAAGGTTATTTATCTACTTAAAAAGATTTAAGAGCTATGACCATCAGTAAATTATGAGCAACAGTTTTTCATCCTATAGATATTACTTAAGAAATATGTTCAGAGCCGGGCGGTGGTGGCCTTTAATCCCAGCACTCGGGAGGCAGAGGCAGGCGGATCTCTGTGAGTTTGAGGCCAGCCGGGTCTACAGGAGCTAGTTCCAGGACAGGAACCAAAAGCTATGGAAAAACCCTGTCTCGAAAAATCCAAAAAAAAAAAAAAAAAGTTCAGTAATTTTCTTAAAATCATATAATCTTCGGATTATATTGTTTAATTGAAAGGACTAAATCTCATAGCAACTTAAAACATGATAAAAATTAACTCAACTAATAAATGAAAATGATAAGTAAGGTAAGATTTTAATTTATTTTTAAATCTTATTTTAATCTTGAAGTCAACACAAAGCAAACCAGAACAACTGTTCAAGATTCTTATATCCTATCACCTTGTTACAAAGCATGTCATTACGCTGCTTATTTTGTATTGCTGGACACACTGTCACCCCTGTTTCAAAAGGACATATTAGACTCCTAACTCTATGACAGGCCACAATACAAAGATGCTACCACTGCCCTGCATGTTTCTTTTCATTATATTTACCCTTACTCAAGGACTTGTAACAAAAAACTCTGAATGAATGCATCAGGAACATGCTTTGTGCACACTATTCCATGTGTGAAAGGTTTGATAAAGTTGTCAAAGATAAAGAGTAATACCATTGTTATAAAGATGTTTTTTTATTATTTAAAAACTATGCAAACTAAAAACTTAAACTAAAAATGTAATGAGTCAAATAAAGCTACAAAGTATCTTCAGTATTCCTTGGGGTAGAAAATGGAGCCTCAACATATAGCCTGGAACCAACTATAGAGTAGACTGACATGAGAACTTCAACAATGTTGCGCCATTGTTCCTGGAGTGCTGGAAATTTGAAAGATGATGGGACTACCCAAGCAGTCTTAGCACTCCTCCCTGAAAGTACCTGCTTTACTCCAAGGTGACAACAGTAGCGTCACCTGCACTGCAAATTCCATGATAATGTTATAAGGCTCCTTCCCTTTTTGGTCAGACTGCTTGACTCCTTAAAAAGTATATTTAAAAAAAAAAAATCTTCAGTTCACAGGCATCTCAGAAAGAATTTCCTATTGACCCACAGCAATGACGCACCTAAAGTGGAATCTCTTGCTTAGTTGTTGTGCATAGCCCTCTGGAGGAAACACTCCAAATTTAGCATTAATATTTTCAATCCTACTTCACTGTGCTTTATATTTTGTCTTTGGTTCCTAATTACCACTTCTATTCCTTTCTAAATTTCATTTATCTCTTTCAGTAAAGAGAACAGTAATAATATGTTGAACAACTCTGAAATAAATTTTGTCATGTAAAAAATTAATTACGCATTCCAAACCTGGTCACTGTAGTCCTCTGGGAATTGCCTCTGCACCTCAGGATCTGTAAATAATTGACAGATAATATTAATTGGCTTTGGATTAGTGAGCAAGGAGAGGATCACACATTAATATTTGATCAGAAGATGATAGCAGCCCTGGCAGGGGATCCAAGGGGGCAGCTGAGGCTGCTATGTTGATGAGCACAAGGAAGGCCTCAGCAAGGCACTCCCATTGCCCTCCTCCAGAAATACAAAAAAGAAAAGATTTAAAGGCCTGATGCTACTGTTAACTTTAGAACTACTACCTAATATGAAAATCTTACCAGCTGCAAGCTGCCCTCAATACACTTTTCCAAAGAAAATGAGTTTTAAACCTGCTTGACTTTTCTTCTCTAATCAGCAGCCTTTTTTTCATCATTACGAATGTTGGCCTGATCAGCCTAAGTACCAGACACAGAACAGGGAGAAAGGGACAGTAAGGGTGGAATTCTTTCAAGGAACAAATGTAAAAGTCAGCACTTTGGAAAATAAAACATAGCGTTCCCCAAGTGCTTATGAAAACAAAGCTACAACTAAAGGAAGTCTTCAAAGCAAACCAGTACTTTTGGTCTGGTTCGTTAGTTTAAAAAAAAAATCAAAAAAAAATTAAGTATTATATGAAATGATTCTTACCTTGACATAATTAGGTTTGTATAGAAACTATAAAAATACAAAGGTGAAAACAGCTTTTCTGATCACCTCTGTAGTATGGGGGGGTCACTTCATTTTTAAATCATAATTGCAAGATAATGTTATATCTATAAGTCAATATAGACATGTTCTAAGTAAAAAAAACTCCAACTACAACCAATAGGAAAGTATACAATCTTTTCAATAAAAAAAAAAAAAAAGATTTGGTTTTATCCCATGCTTCGGACTCTCTGATCATGGTGAACAATGAGGGCTGAAGAGAAGCCAAGGACAATGGCATGGGGTTTGGATCCTACTTCATGTTCCGGCTTGGTGGGAGCCTAGCCAGTTTGGATGTTCACCTTCCTAGACATGGACGGAGGGGGGAGGACCTTGGACTTTCCACAGGGCAGGGAACCGTGACTGCTCTTTGGATTGGAGAGGGAGGGGGAGAGGAGTGGGGGGGAGGGGGAAAGGAGTGGGGGGAGGGGAGAAGGGTGGGAGGAGGGGGAGGGAAATGGGAGGCTGGCAGGAGGCGGAAACTTTTTTTTCTTTTCCTTTTCTCAATAAAAAAGAAAAAAAGAAAAAAAAAGATTTGGCTCCTCAGAGATAATGCTGCAGAGGTGAAGGGTCAGAATACCATGTATTTGGGAAATCATGTATCAATGCAAAAGAAAAGTTTCCTTCTAACAGTATTTCATGGTACACTGCTTGTTTTTCTTATGTGTCTTTAACAGCTACACTAAACCACCAATTGACTTCTCTGTGAACATGAATCCTCATAAAGGTTCAAATCTTTCAAGTCACAATTCTTCAGTAAAAACAGACCAAAAATAGGTGAGGGAACTAAACTTACTACCTTTAAGTTTTTGGAATATCTGTTTAAAAATCATGAAAGCTATTGGACACTTTTTTTAAAATCTAAGATTATTCCAAAGAACAGAAATATTCATAAATACCAAAAATATTGTTTCCCATAGAGGTGATACATAATAAAGATCATTTTTGGTTCTTTGGTTTTTTTGTGTTTAGCTTTCCAACAGATGGCTACTATTATGGAAAACCACAGCCAATCAAAATGCAGTTGTGGGTCCCAGTCCCATTGGAAACAACTCCCACACCTAAGACTAAAGGAACATTGTAGAGAAGGGGCAGAAAGATTGCAATATCCAGAGAACCGAAGGAGTTTGTTGTGAGACAGTCTCCTAGAAATTACACTCAAACAGTCTCACCAACATGATTACCTAAACATGAGCTAAGCACAGACAACAACCGTAGACATGACAAAGTGGATGGGGGGAAAACCACAAAGCCTCAATCCTACACAAAGAATTGCACATGACTAAAGAACACTGCGAGTGGGATAAATGATCTTCCACAGGGAAAAGCACAGCAACTGGTTATGCAGTGCTAAAGGGTAAGCCTGAAAACACACAAACAGGTAACATTGTACAGACTGAGCGGGTATAATCAGGAATATACATGTATATTCATATCCACATATGCATACAACAACCATGAATTTGAAAGAGATCAAGAAAAGATATATGGGAGAATTTGGAGGAAGGAAAGGGAATGAGGAAATGATGTAACCAAATATAATCTTAAAAGAAATAATAAAATAAATTTAAAAAAAAGACAAGTGGAAATCACCTTCTCTCTTTACCTTCACCTTCTGAGAAGTGACTAATGACGTGTCTAGATTGAGACCTGGGGAGTTCTAGAGTAATGCTCTCTCTGCAGCACCACTGAGGGCCACCCTTCTGAGCCAGAGAGAAAAGGGTTGCCTGTCTTTGGCCTGCTGGCTTGAACTATACAAGGACTCTGCTCTCCTGAGACAAGTGGCCAGAAGGCAGTAACTGGCAGGCAAGATAGGGATAGTACCTCTTTTATCCAAAATGCTTGGGACCGAGTGTTAAAGATTTGTGAGGTTTTCATATTTCAGAAATATTTACAAAGATTTCATGAGCTAAACATTCTTAAGCCAAAATGGCAACATCTGATGTCAGAGCATTTCAGATCCACACATGTTCAAACTTTATGGGGCCAAACAAAGAAAAGTTAGTAGCAAAGTATGACAGACAGCCTAACCAACCTGGTGGGTAGCAAAGCTAAAAAAGCACAGTGACTATCATTCCTGAAACATATAAAATTATCTGATATTTTAGTCTAGAAACAAACTCAAAAGTAACATCTCTAAGATACTGAGAGGCACAACGAAGCAGACGGTGGGAAAGCCAGAATCACTCACAACTTGCTCCTTTTCTCCCAAATGCCATGTGATCAACATACTCTTTAACCAGAAAAAAAGTCATATACATGACTTCATACTGGATTCTTAATAGCATGCCTTCTATCTTGCAGTAGTTTTTGCTTCCTGGCAATTACAAAGTACCAGCAGAAATAAAAGACATGGGTCTTATTTTTGTGCCACCATCTTGTGAAGAGATAAATGCTAGAAATAAAATTTGTGGTTTATTCTTCAAACTTTGTTATTATGTGGGACAAAGTTTTAAATCTCTTTTTAAAACTTCTATTAATAAGAAACCAGAGCAATAAAAACCCATTGCTTTAAAACATATTTTCAATGTTTTTTTCATATATACAATATAGCAGAATTAAGAAAATAGATGGAAGAGATGAATCCAGTTTGAAACACTAAAAGTAAAGATGACTATGCCAGCCAGTAAAAAGGCCACCCCAACTACATTACAGTAAACACCGCTTCAGTCGTTGGCAGCATAAACGCCCAAGGAGAGTCTCAGATTTTAACAGAACAATGTTCCAGGACAAAACATTCACTATTGTTTACTACAGTTCAAGCATGAGACTTTTGCTTGGTTTTCTTTACAGTCTCAGAGGTTTACAAAAAGCAAATTTCATGAGTTCTTAACATTCTCTAAAACATTACTTTTTTTTTAAGGCAATGCTTTTTAAGACCAAGTCTAATCTATAAAGTTCCATTCAATTAATTCAAAGATTCAGTCTGATAGTCCATAAAACTATGAAAGCTATTTTGTAAAACTTAAGACAGAGACTGCAAACAATTTATTTGAATTGTCTTAAAACATCTATTTTGTACAAGAAGCTGTAATCGTTTTTTCACATTGATCAGGATGCCATTATGCCACCAAAATACTGACATTGGAAACATGTGAGTTAAAAAGGTCCAAAGACAATCCATTTTCTCAAGCAGCACAGCACCCTCCTTACTAACAGCTTCAGCATGGTACATACAAAACATAGCACCCTGCAATTAAGCAAATCGCCTTTAAATTTCTGTCTGGCAGCAATCCACTTGAGCGTCTGTATGTTTTTACAAGTACTCTATGTATTTCATTGCATCAGCTGCATTTCTTTGAGTTTTAAATGGTCTGGGAGCATTTTATGAAATGTTCTATATGGAAAATAATGTACACTGGAAATTAGCATCAGTCTGATAATTACATATTCGTTTTTTAATCCATCCTTAAGTCCTGTAACTTCTTATGTCCCAAAACACCTTTTCATTCAGAAGCTCATCACCAAATGCAGTGTCACCAACTTTGAAGGCAAAATCAATCTGTAGATCAGAGTGCCACAGTGGACGAGCACAAGCTAGCAATGTGCTAAGGCAGGTGGCCGTGCGTGTCAGGCTTTTCCCTGAGAACTGTCTCTAGGACAGAAAATTAAGAACATAACAAGATAGTCTTTTTCTTAACCTCCTGTCCTGGCAACTTTCTTCTGATTCAAATTTAAAAATCAATTATGTCATCTCCCAGGTAAACACTTTTCTTTTGTTGCTGTCATTTTTAGATAAGGTTCCAAGCTGTCCCGCAACTCACAATGTAAACCAGGCTGGCCTCAAAAATCATAGAAATCCTCTGAGTGGTGGGATCAAAGGCAAGCATCATCACATCCAACAGGAAAACACTTTTCGATTAAAAAAAAAATCTGTATTTAAAATACCTTGTCAACAATATGGATCATCAGATTATGTCTTTCTGGACAAAGCTCCATGTCACATCAATGTGAAGAAGGACACTGCCTTCTCCTGGCAGCATGACCATCTACAAGTCTGTCCTCACAACACTACTTCTCCTAAGGGCCACAAGGCAAAATTGTCACAGTGTAGGATTCTCAGCAATACAATCTCATTCCAGCAGAGAACACAGCTGTGCTGTGAACAGAGAACTCCAAAAAGAAAGGCTGGCTTTCTTCAGTCTCAATAACCCATGTTTTCTAGTCTCCAACTATACATACTTTTAAATATTTAATAAGACATAGCAAGTCGCCACAGGATGTTTAATTAATAGAATAAGAGTTTGGGCAAGGCTCACTGGAAAGGGACTATAACTTATTTTATACAGCTCCAAAATCCTTGCATTTGCCTTAGGCTTTAAGTTCCTAGAAA